AGGGGCGTGGAACCTCCCATGCGAACCGAATTTTTCATACTCCATATCTCTGGAATGATCGATGTAGAGTTCTGAATCTTGGTATAGAGATATACGAAATCCATCGCATACTCTAGGAAAAAAAATTGGAGCTATTGGAAAAGAGGGTGTGGCACTCCCCATACAAACCGAATTTTCATACTGCATATCTCTGGAAGTGTTCATAGTAGAGTAATGGAACTTGGTATTGGCGCATATGAAATCGATCGCATAATCTTGGAGAAAATTGGACTTATGGGAAAAGGGGGGTGTGGCACCTCCCTTTCAAGCCGAATTTTTCATATGGAAGTATTTATGGTAGCGTAGATAGAGATATATGAAATAAATATCATACTCTTGGATACAAATTGGAGGTATTTGAAAAGGGCGCGTGGCCCTTCCAATACAAACCGAATTTTTCATATTCCATATTTCTGCAAATGTTCATGGTAGAGTACTGAAACTTGGTGTAGAGATATATAAAATCAATCGCATACTCTTGCAGAAAAATTGGAGCTATTCGAAAAGAGGGCGTGGTACCTCCAATACAACCCGAATATTTCATACTGCATATTGCTAGAAGCGTTCATGGTAAAAGTTTTGAAATTGGTATGGCAATATATGAAATCAATCACATACTCATGGAGCAAAATTGGAGTTGTTGGACAAGGGCGTGTCACCTCGTATACAAACCGAAATTGTCATACTGTATATCTCAGGAAATGTTCATTGTAGAGTACTGGAACTTGGTATGGAGATATATGAAATTAATCGCATACTCATTAAGAAAAATTCGGACTATTTGAAAAGGGGTGTGGCACCTCCCATACAAACCGAATTTTTAATAATAAGTATCTCTGGAAGTGTTCATGGTAGGGTACTGGAACTTAGTACGGAAATATATGAAATAAATCACATAGGGCCAATTTCACAATGCGTAGTTAACTCAGAATCGGCAGTTAACTACAGATTTTTGTACTGAAAATCTCTAGTTAACTGCCGATTCTGAGTTAACTACGCATTGTGAAATTGGCCCATACTCATGGAGAACAAGTAAGAAAGCCTAAGTTCGGGCGGAGCCGAACAAGGACAACAACTGTGCCAAGTGTGGAAGAAATTGGTCCAGCGGTTACCAAGTTATACACATTTAACCATAAGTGGGCGTGGCTACGCCCATTCTCCAAAAATTTATAATATTCTTATTTTTCGTCTGAAACATATTGTAAAAATTAATTTTGAGTGAGTAATCTTCAGTAGTTACTAAAATATCGCAGTTTACGTATATCTGAAAATTACCGTTATATGGGAGCTAGGCGTGGTTATTGTCTGATTTGGCCCATTTTCAATACCACCGTCCTACGCCAGAAAGAAGTGCACATACCAAGTTTCGTTAAGATATCTAAATTTTTACTCGAGTTATCGTGTGCACAGACGGACGGACGGACGGACAGGCAGTCACCGCTTAATCGATTTCTCTTATCATTCTGATCATTTATGTATACATTTGTCTATACCTATCTCGATTCGTTTTGCCTGTTACAAACAACCGTTATGTGAACAAAGATATAATACCCTTGTGCACAAGTGCGCTCGGGTATAAAAATTGGAGTTATTGGAAAAGGGACGTGGCACCTCCTATACAAACCGAATTTTTTATTCTGCATATCTCTGGAAGTTTTCATGGTAGAGTACTGGAACTATGGCACATATGAAATCGATCGCGTAATCTTGCAAATGTTCATGGTAGAGTACTGAAACTTGGTGTAGAGATATATAAAATCAGTCGCATACTCTTGCAGAAAAATTGGAGCTATTGGAAAAGAGGGCGTTGTACCTCCCATACAACCCGAATATTTCATACCGCATCGGGTATAAAAATTGGAGTTATTGGAAAAGGGGCGTGGCACCTCCTATACAAACCGAATTTTTTATTCTGCATATCTCTGGAAATGTTCATGGTAGTGTACTGGAACTTGGTATGTAGATATATGAAATCAATCGCATACTCCAGACGAAAAATTCGGACTATTTGAAAAGTTGGCGTGGCACCTCCCATACAGACCGAATTTTTCATGATAAGTATCTCTGGAAGTGCTTATGGTAGAGTGTAATGCAATCAAGCATACATTTTACCTTATATGAATTCGCCTTTTACTAATCTATTACAATTAAGAATTAAGAAGTTACGATATTGAAAAATGCAACCCTGTTGTATTGCGAAAGCGGCTAACGTTAAGTCAAAAAGTGAGAAATAAATTGGCGTCATTCCATATGCGCCATTCTACTCGATCGGACGTTTTTCATTGTCACAGTCTTTTATTAAAAAGAGTTTGGTTTCCCGGGCTTCGGGCAAGAAAAACATATAACCTGCCCAAACAACTTAGGCAGCTTCACCGTCCGACAACGCCGAATCTGCGAATAGCAGCGCTTGAGTGCACGCAGCAGCGGAGCGCTCCATCGAGCAGCATGAGATGAACTCAATTTAATTTACAAAATTTAAAAATCCAAATCCTATATTTGCGGTGGTGGTATATTACAAAAAAAAACAAAATTTTTACAAAAAAAAAATTAATTAAATACAAAATAAAAAAAAAAAAGATATTACACACAGCAGTGGCAAATTCGAAAAACTTTGCAAATACAAAAATGAATGAATACAAATTTAAAGATTAACATTTAAAACAAACTTTTTTACAAAACGCGGTCGTACCAAAATTGAAAACAAAAAAAAAGTTCAAGAAAAGTGATGTGATGCCGGGTGTAACGGTGGTTGTAAAGAACAACAACAATTATACTTCAGTGCGTTAAAAACTAATATGCGTGACTTTACAAAAGCAAACCAATTTTGGAAAAAGACAACAACAAATATACTTCAGTGCGTTAAAAACTAAAATGCATGACTGTACAAAAGCAAACCAATTTGGGAAAAAAGACAACAACAAATATACTTCAGTGCATTAAAAACTAAAATACGTGACTGTACAAAAGCAAACCAATTTTGGAAAAAGACAACAACAAATCTACTTCAGTGCGTTAAAAACTTAAATTGCGTGACTGTACAAAAGCAAACCAACCCACCCGGTACTTAGCCTTTTTGATATGTTGAGCCACTGAACGGTAACCACCGTTAAGTAGCGGTTCTGAAACCACGCTACCAAACAACAACTGTAACAGCCGTTACATAGTGGTATGTAAAAACCACGCCACCAAGCAACACCAACAACAACATCAGCGTTAAAACAACAAGCAACATCAGCGAAGGCGTATAGACACTTAACAACGGAGTCAACTAGTAACAACGGAATACATAACATGGCAGCATATGTACACATTTAGATGAGTTTATTTAAGTACAGTGTTGCATACAAAAATACAAATAATGCGATAAGATCCCTAATGATTCCATTTGCTTAATACGTTTTTACATTTTCATTCCATATTGTCAATTCATACTTTTACTTTATGCATACATTTTCTTGCATAATTTCAAATATTTTCTTGGAATTTAAATACTTACATCAAATTTCCAATAAAATTTGAAGTTTTTGGGTTACGTAATTGATACAATTCGTAATTTGTTTTCCTCGAAAGAAAACGCCGTGACGTGAATAAATATTTTTTTGACAATACTTCCGATGTTTCGTAAAACTCGCATACTCATTTTTGATGTTTTCTCAAAACCCTGCCGTTAACAACTTACCTTTACGATTTTTTTTTATACATTTGCGACCAATATTACAAACAGTTTAACTTCTTCTGAAATATTTCAAATGTCTTATATATATGTATTTATATATCTATGTATATGTATATATAAAATATTTTGCCCTACTGTGTCGACTACAAATTTATAAAATTTTGCAAAAAAAAGCAAATATATACCATCTTTTTAATTGCATGTGAGACAGCACAAAGATAAAGCAACATCCCTTTCCTATTGCATGGCTATACGCCTTTATTGCATGCCAAATTTTCAGCGGACTATAATATTTGACTATTTTCTCAATAAGTAATACATATATTCTTTTTCTTCATTAGGGTGCGGTGAGTAGTAGCTGGTTGTAACTATCAGTGCTTGAACTTTTTGAGGTTATCGGTTATGTCAGATTTTGAAATACAATTTATAGAATACCAATCTGATTTCGTTAAAGTAACTAAGCGAATTTTGCAGAACCGACCACTGTCGACAAATGCGGTTAAACTCAAAGAATACAAAGATTCGCTTATAACTTTTTATAATAAAATTGTATTACACGTAACGGATAACAGTTCAACACATAACCTCAAAGAAGTGCAAGCAAAGCTATCACGTTGCAAGGAGCTACTCGTGAACTGCTTTGTTAGGTTAAATTATCAGATTCCAATTCCGAAGAATGCGTTAAGTCTTATATGCCAAACGAACGTAGTTGATTCGGAATCAGAAGTTTTCGCTGACGCTGAGTCAGAAACATCGCTAGGTTTTGGTATCAAAAGAAGCTCATCACTTCCAGATTTAAAGCACTCATTATTTCCAGATAACGCTCCACCAGCAGCTACCAGCTCACCTGATATTACCGATTTTTCAAAAAGTTTTCACAAAATGGCTACCATCGAACAGAAAAAGTCATTTATTAGTCTATGTTCATCAATATTTAGAGAAAATTATAGTGGGGATCCGTTAGCGCTCGATTCTTTTCTCGATAAAATAAGAAGACCTAGCTGAAGAAAATCTAACCAGTACGTTGATAGCATTTTTAAAATCTAAATTAGAGGGAAAAGCTCGCTAAGCATTACCGACGCAAATACTATCAGTTAATGACATCAAAATTGCTCTACGTGGAAGGATTAAAGCTGATAATTCCAAAGTTGTTGCAGGAAAAATTTCGGCGTTACACTTCAACAATAATAACTATACAGATTTTTCTAAACGCGTAGAAGAACTGGCCGACTCTTTAGAGCGTTCCTTAATTATTGAAGGAATGACTCAACAAAAAGCTCACGAAATGAATGTTGAGCAAACCGTAAATGTTTGTCGATTAAATGCCAAGTCGGATCTAGTCAAGTCGATACTTGCTTCAACAACATTTTCCGATTCCAAAGACGTAGTAGCAAAGCTGATAGTAGAGCAAAATAACGAAGTAAAAGAGCGTCAGGTTTTAGCATTTCGCACATGTGGCAGTAACTTTTCCAGAAATTTTCGTGATAGTTTTCGTGGGCATAGTAATTATAACCCAAGTCGCAATTTTACTGGTTATATGAACAGGTTTTCTTCAGGCAATGGAAACCAGCGCTATCGACCCACTAACGGATACACCCACCAAAGTGTCAGCAATAATAACCGTTTTAACAATAATCGTGTTAGTAATAGGAACAACACCAATAATAGCAGATCTTCGAATAATAGGGGTAGAAACGCAAATATCCGTGCTTTAAACGCTCACGCCCCTCAGGAGCGAACATTGGGGGAGCAGGAGCTAGACAACTAAACGATTTTTCCATAACAAAAGGCATTTATTGCTTAAACCTAATTTATTCAGATTATATTCAATTGCAAGATCCCGGGTCAAATAAATTATACACATTTTTGGTCGACACGTAAGCCGACATTTCTTTAATTAAAATTTCAAGTTTTAACAAAAATTTTCCAATTGATTCAAATGATATCATCCGCATCACGGGCGTTACTTCTTATACTGTTTCGACTCTGGATAAAATTACAACAAATTTGACTTTTTCCGATTTTTTTATAAAACATACGTTATATGTAGTTAATGACGAGTTTAACATCCCTGCAGACGGTATATTGGGTAAAGGCTTTTTGAAAACCAATAGATGCGTTATCAGCTATGCGAGCAATTGCATCTCCTTCTGGGTAGGTAACAAAAAGGACGCGATTCCGATTTTTCACGGAACTGAAAGCGATACCTGCGTAATTCCACCCGGACGCGAAGTTTTTCGACTTTTTAATTTAGAAAGTTCACCGGAACCACTTTTTGTGGAGTCACAAGAAATTGATAACGGTGTATTTACGGCAAGGTGAAGAAGAAAGTTACTCGAAATTAAATAGAGAACTTCAATTGTTGTTCCGAAAAAATACACTAATGGTCAAAAAGCGTACCGCATGTGCGTCGATTTCCGTGCTGTTAATAAGACACTGATTGCCGATAAGTTCCCTCTTGCGAGAATAGATTACATTTTAGACAACCTGGGCCGAGCGAAATATTTTTCAACTTTAGACCTCTTTTCAGGATTTCATCAAATCCCTTTGCATGTTGACTCTCGTGACGTAACATCCCTTAGCACCGACCGAGGAGCATTTAGGTGGAAAGTATTACCTTTAGGTTATTTTAGGAGCTCTTCTGGCCGGTGATTTTAAAAAAGCAAAAACAAGTTTCCTTTTTTCTTCCTACGCGTTTCGGCGTTATTTTCCGCCTTCTTCAGGGAGTCTGTTCTTATTTATTTAGAATAAAACAAAAAGAACATAAAAAACACAACCATTAGATACAATGTTACATATTGAAATATCAAAACAATTAGTTAACATACACACATATACCAATAAAATTCTTCATGATCACACTTACATCTTTACATTTACATCACATTTGGCACAATTATTATTTTAACATATTTTATTTGGACATCACTAATAAATAAATCTACATAAAAATATCACAGCTTAATATTGTTTATCGCTTATCTGCTCGTCGAATGTGTCCAATTGCTGCCCGGTATGCGCAATTTATGTTATCCACGTCTTCTTTGAAGTTCATCGCGTCCTGTATTCTTTGTTGTATTCGAAGACCTTCTAATGTTAATCTTGTCCTCTCACTCCTTTCTACGTCTAATATTTTGGTGTTTTCGATGTCTGCTGCGTGTCCGCTAATTGTTAAGTGTTGGGCTAGTGCTGTTGTTGTCTTTTTGTGTTTTGCGTCAGTTTGGTGTTCGTTGATTCTGACGCCAAGTGCTCGCTTTGTCGTGCCTACATATACTTTATTGCAGGTTTCGCCAACCTTTCCGTTGCATTTTATTTCGTAAACAACATTATGTTGTTGTTCCTTGTTGATTTTGTCTTTTGTTTTGCTGAAAATTGTGCTTAGTGTGTGGTTTGGTTTGTGGGCAAAGGTTATATTTTCGTTGCGAATGTTTTTGTGTAATGTTTTATTATCCGTTAATCCATGTATATATGTGACTCCTGCGAATTTCTTGTGCATGTTTATTTACAGCTTCAATTCTCATGCCTGCTGACTTTCGTTTTGTTTATTGCTGTTGCTATAAGTTTATTTATGATATTATTAGGGTACCCGTTTTTGTATAATATTTCTTTATCTTTTTGTTGTTTGCATTTCTGAACTCCTGGTCACTCAACGCGTGGATTTTATTTATAAGATTGATAGCAGTGTTCCTCTTTTGCGTCCAGGGGTGATTCGAGTGATAATTAATCATTCTAGAGGAAGCTATGTCTTTAGTATACCAGTTTGTTAACAAGTTTTTGTTTATATTGCATATTTCCATGTCTAGGAAGGCTAATTTTTGTTTCTCTTCAACTTCAGTCGTGAACTGGATTTTTCTATGTTATGCATTTAAAGTTTTAACTATTTCTTCCACGTCATTTTTATTTACAATAGCAAATATATCATCTACATACTTGTTGATGTATTTGATATATATGTCCTTGGTTCTCAATTCAGCAATGCTGTCGTCTAGTATTTTGTCCAAAACAATATCTGCTACAGTCGGTGATAGAGGGTTTCCCATTGGCATTCCATGTACCTGTTGGTAATAGGTACCATCATAAACAAAATAGTTGTTGTCCCGTAAGCAAAATTCCAAGGCACGTAAAAATTGTTTTCTTGAAAGGCTTGTATGATTTTGCAAGGACGGCCATTGCTTCATAATTGTATTAATTGCCAATTGTATTGGAATATTGGTAAATAGGGACACTACATCTAAAGATATAAGGATTTCATTTTCTTCGACTTTTATATATTTTAGCCTTTCTTTGAGTTCAAATGAATTTTTGATGTTATATTCTTTGGAAATTACGAGTTTTAGAGTTTGCCCGATGAATTTATAAAGCTTGTAGCAAGGTATTTACATTTGTTGAAGAGGAAATTGGTCTAAGAGGAGTATTTTCTTTGTGTATCTTTGGAAGGCCATTTAGTCTGGGAGCTGTAGCTGCAGTGCTTGTCAATTGGTGTTTCTGTTTGACGTCAATATTTTTTTGTTTGTAAATGTCATTAATTATGTTGTTATTTTTCCTTAATAATTTTTGTGTTGGATCCATTCGCATAGTTTTGTAGGTGTCTTTATCGCTAAGGAGGCTTTTTGTTTTATCATTATATTCCGTTTTGCTCATCATTACTGTCTTGTTGCCTTTGTCTGCATCTGTAACACTATGCGACAGTCAAAATCGGGATGGGATGAAACCAACGGGAAATGTTATATCGGTCAAAAACAAGTTATACGTGGCCCGGCGTTTCGCTGGGTGGAAGCAGGTGGCTTCTCTCTATGGGAAAACAATTCGCATTACCGGTAACGAAGGAAACGTTCTCACCCATACATTTAATTGCCGAAATTGAACAAGGTATCAAGGCACTCGACGATGAAAGAGAAAAGGACACAGCGAGAAACAACATAGCAACCAAAATATATGAATACAAAAGCAAACTTACAAATGGCCCAAAAGAAAAATATATTTTAAAAGTTTTTGAAGACGTCGTGGTAAATTGTCATTAGTTTTAATGTTTTGTCGTCATCATTGATAGTTTCTACGGTATCTGTTAGTATAATTTGTAAAGACTTTAAAATTTTATTTCCGCTGGTTTTAAAGTTTGTAATAGAAAAATGTTTAAAAAATACATCATCTTTAGGCCATTCAATGCTTTTAATATTGTGATTGCATTTATTTGGGTTGAGTTTTAAGTTGAAAGCTCTGCGTGTATTGAAAACTTTTGATAGATTTTTTGTGTGGTGTGCCTCGCTACAACCAATTACGATTATATCGTCGACGTAAAGAAATGCCACATTGGGC